ACGAGAGGAAAGAGGGTCAGAGGGAGCAGCAGACTCCCTGCCAAGCAGGGAGCCCGATGTGGGACTCGATCCCGGGACTCCAGGATCATGACCTAGCCGAAGGCAGTCGCTTAACCAACTGAGCCACCCAGGCGCCCTTTATCTATTTTAGAGAGAGAGAGCAGGGGGAGGGGCAGAGGGAGAAGGAGAGAACCCTAAGTAGACTCCATGCCAAGTGCAGAGCTGACCCTGGGCTTGATCTCACAACCCAAGCCGAAACCAAGAGTCAGACGCTTAACGAGCTGCACCACCAATGTGCCCCTCCATCTAAATTTTTAAATTTATTCACGTAACATTGGGTATCTTTTTAATATCTCTAGGAACTATAGCAATGCCCCCTTTTGTGTTCCTGATATTGGTAAGCTGTGCTTCTTTTTTTCTTGAATAGTCTTGCTACAGATCTGTTAATTTTATTAATATCTTCAAAGAGCCAACTTTTGAGGGTTTTTTTGTTTTGTTTTCTCATATTGTATATATTTTAATTCATGCCAGCTAATATCTTCATTATTTTCTTTCTACTTTTACTGAACTACTGTTTTTCATTTCTTGAAATGGATACCCACTGCTGTTCATTATTTCTTATACAACCTAATCTTAGAATTTAAGTGACTTGCCTAAGGTCACATAGCAACAAAACTAGAAGTAGAGTCTAGGACTGTTCTCTCAGACCCATGTTTTTTACTCTTCACCATGATGACTTTTTTTTTCCTAGAAGAGGAAGAATAAAAAATATTAATATTCGTTGAGCACTTTGTATGTTCAGGCACTGTTCTAAGTATTTTACATGTGGTACTATCTTTTAAGTCTCTGAATTACAAATAAACTGAATAGGACAATATTTTTTAGTGTTGTTTCCAAATATCTTCTTTCTCTGTGTGCTGTCTTCTCAGTACAAGAATTAGAAACAGGTCTATGGAAACTGTTTTCCCTCCTTTTCCTAGATCCTTCTCTATTCATCTTAAGAAAGAGACTTTTCCCTGTTAGGCCCTCCTCTTTATATATATATATTTATATAAATATATAAAATATAAGCCTCTAAGCTAGAGATGGTGTATTAGGGAAACTTTTACAAGAATTGTTTTATAAAGGCCCTCACTTTAATGATACAAATGAACACTCCCTTTTGTGTTCTATCTGCTGCTCAGAGCATCTGCTTCACCAGCTGAGACGCTAAAACTGGTTCTTCAGATCCCAGTTTATACGTTGGAGTGGTTAAGTCACAAGGATAGCTAATAATGATGACAAAGATTTTTCAGCTTACATTTTTGTTGCACTTTTTGCTTTTCAAACCATTTCTGTATATTCCTATTTAGTACCAACAACCTAATGAACAAGAAGCATTTAGGAATTCTTGGTTTAATCATGAGGAAACTGGGGCACAAAAAAATTATATAACTTTTTAGGGTCACACAACTAGACAGTTCATCCGCTTGGTGAATAGTGGTTGCAGTGATTCTTGCCAGGGGAATACACCCATATCATCTTTGGAGCTTTAAAACAAAACAAGTACCCAAGCTTCACTTTTAGATACCTCATCTGTCTGTGGTGGACCTGAGCATCAGCTGGGTTTTTTTTGTGTTTTTGTTTTTCAAGAGCTGTAGTTGATTCGAGTGGGCCCTCTGATAATGGAACCACTGATCCACTACATACCTCTTGTGCCCATACCACACTAGCAGAGATTGTGCTAGTAAGTTACAGGGCTAGACCTAAAATTTAAGTCTCCTTTTACTCAGTATGATGGTTTTGAGTTTTACTCTTCACTGCTCTAATATATAACTGTCTTAAAGTTTCTTTTATTTTTAGACAAGAGCAATATAATACTGAATTAATGGGTCCATAAGATTATCACAGCACTCTTCTTTGTCTAGACATTCAGAATTGGGAAATAATTGAATTTTTAAAGTTTAAGCATTCTCTATGTGCACCTAAATCTTGTAATAGCTAACAAATAAATTCACAAAACTGAAGAGCCCAAACATCTTAAAAAGCAATTACTACCCCCAAAAAATATACAGAAAAGCATTGAATTATACAATGAAAATGGGAGAATAATATGGTATGTGAATTATATCTCAATAAAGATGTTTAAAAACAACAACACTAATACGATTTTCTGCTGTGATCCATACTTTGTAGTCTTCTTACTGAGAAAAGGAAAGAAATTTCTTTCTCTCTAGGGCTCCCAGGTGAAATCTTTCACTTGAATTGCCTATCAGTGTGTGCATAATTAATTTTTTTCCCAGCATACTATTGAAATTTAACCCATAACAAAAAAACACAAAGACTTAGAGGTATGACATTAAAAGTTATTAATATTTCAGGTTTATAAAATATTTTTATATCCATTAAGTATGCCTTCCTTAACTATTCTATAGAGTTAATACCTTCTATATTTTACAAATGGTGAAACTTTATGCCTCTCTTTCTAACTGCCAGTTTCCAGAGTTATACCTACTTTTCCACAGACAGTACAGATTGCCAGGGCTAGGAATACCGAAGACATAAATCATTTGGCTCTGCAGTATTAGTATTGGATTAAAACCAAATGCAAGTGGCAAAATAACACATGGTGAAAGCATGGGCTATGTTTCTATGATACCAGGCAGAGTTGAATTAATTCTTTGAGAGGAGGTGTGAATACACATGTATAATGATAGTTTAACACAACTGTGAGCAAAATATTTTGTCACATTCTCCTGTGTTGTTAGATTTGGTCTGCCATCTGCCATTCTTGCATTGAGTAGCTTAGAGCACCCATGAGTAGCAAGGACTTGCAACAGGCCACAGAATTTTCACTGGAAGGTAGATGATTCCTGTGTTTCTCCTGTTTTTCCTGTGTATCCTTTGAGGAATGATTTCTTTCATTGGAGATCATTACTGGGTAACAAGCATTTTTTTCTTGGAGTTGTATGTACGAAGTAGTTGTGAATTCTAATTTTTTATCTGTTCTGATTCATGGAATTCCTTTGTTTTAGCTAATATTTACTACTTATAAATCTAAATTTATCAAGATAAATTAAATTTAGAATTGCCTCAGTGGTTCGGTCAGTTAAGCGTCAGACTCTTGATTTCAGTTTAGGTCATGATCTCAGGGTTGTGAGATGGAGCGTGGCTTCGGGCTGGGCATGGCGCCTGCTTAAGCTTCTCTCTCTCTCCCTCTGCTCCTCCCCCCACTCGGGCACGTTCTCTTTAAAAAAAAAATAAAGAAAGAAAGAATAAATAAAATCTTTTTAAAAAATTCAGTATATTCAGTTTAAGAAGGCAGGAAAGCATACAATAAAAGTTATAAGGATTTCCATGCAAAATAATTAAAGTTTAAAAGTCTCAGTACATGAAAGGATAATGATCTGTCATCAGAAATATTAAATCACATGGAGGGGCACGTGGGTGACTCAGTTGGTTAAGCATCCAACTAGATCTCATCTCAGGTCTTGATCCTCAGGGTCGTGAGTTCAAGCCCTGAGTTGGGCTCCATGCTGGGTGTGGATCCTACTTAAAAATAAATAAACAAGGGCGCCTGGGTGGCTCAGTTGGTTAAGCAACTGCCTTCAGCTCAGGTCATGATCCTGGAGTCCTGGGATCGAGTCCCACATCGGGCTCCTCTGCTTCTCCCTCTGACCCTCTTCCCTCTCGTGCTCTCTATCTCTCATTCTCTCTCTCTCTCAAATAAATAAATAAAATCTTTAAATAAATAAATAAATAAATAAATAAACAAACAAACAAATCATGTGGAGACATACTGCATTCCCAGACACTGGCAGATAAGTGAGGTTACTATAAAGTATGTATATGTGAATTATTAACTCTGAAAAGATCAAGCTTTTGTCATAAGCCTATATTGCATGTTGTCTCTAGAACAGTCTATATACAGCCTTTTCCCTAAGTCAAGATTTCTTAATCTCAGCTACCTTGGCCAATACCCCCTCCTGCTTCTCTCCCCTGTTGTGGCAATCAAAAATGTCTCCAGACATTCCCAAATATTGTCTGAGGGACAAAATCACTCCTGGTTGAGAACCACTGCCCTAGATATGTTAGAGAAGAGGGACTGAATACAAATTATAAGGTTCTGAGAGAAGGTAGGAGAGAACTCAAAGAAGTTTTTTTTTTAAAGGACTAAAGGCCAAAGGTTTTGAATTCATATTATTTTAATCAAATGACTTATTAAAAGGGCAAGTATCTGGTTCAAAGATTTGCCTTTAAGCATCAAAAAGTGTGCATATCTTACAAGATCGGTTTATCAAGTTATTTTGTAATCATTCCAAGCAGGCTTCATGGAAGAAATCAGACTTGATTCTTTTTTCCTAGAACATATTTTTTAGGTTCCTAAAATCACCTATATATAAATGGATCTGTGTGTCAATATGGCTTCATGAAAGAAGTCAGACTTAATTAACCTCTTTTTTTTCTCCATAGACTACATTGCAGGTTCTTAAAACTAACAGAGTACAAAGTTAAACAATCTTGCTAACTTTTTAATAAAAAGAGTTTTTAATTTCTTTTCTTATTTTGATCCCCTCTGCCCCCTTATGGAACATGATAACATAGTTTAGCTTTTCTGTTTTAGCTTTTTTTTTTTTTTAAGATTTTATTTATTTATTTGAGAGAGAGAATGAGAGAGAGAGAGAGAGAGAGAGAGTGTACAAGAGAGGGGGGAAGGTCAGAGGGAGAAGCAAACTCCCTGCTGAGCAGGGAGCCCAATGCGGGACTCGATCCCGGGACTCCAGGATCATGACCTGAGCCGAAGGCAGTCGCTCAACAAACTGAGCCACCCAGGCGCCCCTGTTTTAGCTTTTTTAATGCCATCAGTTACCTGGCAGAACACTAATGATTTATTCTTTACTTTCTGTATGATAGCCCGCTGGATACTGTGTCCTGGATTCACAATTATTTTACCTGGTGACTCTGAAGTAGTATTGTGACTCTGGCCTTCACTTACCTTTCTTTTTCCCTTTCTCATGTAGCAGCAGCTGTTGATTCAGACCGAAGTCCCCGGCCCACCTCTGCACCAGCCATTGCTCAGAGTCAGGACACAGAGGTTTCTAAAGCACAGAAGGAAACAGTGAAGGTTGAAGAGCAAAAGGAAGAAGTGCCGCCTGAGCAAGCTGAGCCAGAGCCCACAGAAGCGTGGAAGGTATGCCGTAAGTCCAAATATCTGGCTAGTTCACTTTCCGATTTTTTAAAAAATTTTTTATTCAAATTCAGTTAACACTTTCTGATTTAGACATGTTAACTCCTTGGCCAGGAGGGTTTTCAAAGCATTGATTCTTGTAGAATTCTAACAAAGTTATTTCTTCTTTACTCTTTCTAAAAGAAAGTATTCCCCATGAACCTGTAAAGTATTTTCATAGAATTATATCCTGAAGACTAAGCCATCTGAGTTTTCAGGTGACCTACCTACACTGTTATCTAACTTATATCTAAAAAAAAGAGTTTTTAACACTGTGATCATCTGCTTTTAAAAATAATGTTTATTCAACCAGAAGGAATCTCCACATTCCTTTTTAAGAGTAAGCTCTGCTAATAGAATTAAAATGTAATTTGATTTCCTAAGATGAGTATATGTGCAACATACCTAGAGAATATCCCAGTTAGTATTACATAAGGCACATCCATGTGGTTGTTCAAATCAAATTGTTTACAAAAAGACGAAGATCCTTATGTAGGGGCGATTATGCCACTGAGTTGCTTACAGTTCTGAGTTGACCCACAGTCACTGACCTTGTTGAAAAATCACCAATTAGTAGATTTCCCAGGATTAACCGTAACTGGACTGATCTTTTATGTGTTGATAAGCTTTTGAAACACATTTAAGCAGTGATGGAGTTGAGATGTTCAGGTTTAATGACATAAATACAAGTATCACTGTTGACAACAGGAATTAATAGAGGCAGTTTTTAAAAGAAAAAGTACATTTTTATATATCTGTTAAGAAATTTAAAACAAAAAAACATTTTTTTTAAACCATGTAAGACCTTAGTAAGTGCTCTCATCTTGGCAGATGGATTAATCCTGTTCTTTTGGACCTGGTTCAATATCTAGTTAATATCTGTAGAGCAGTGGCCAATTTGGCTTTGTTTTGACTGTATTTAAAAAAAAAATCAAAACTATTGAACATGACATGCCGTTTTTACTGTCCTTTGAGACCAACTTGAGTCCAAAGAGAGAAAAAAATTGAGCAAATGGTGGATATTTGTATTTTTTTTTAACCTAGCCAGATGTGTATGATACTGACCATCAGGTTCAGTATCAACAGTGCCTTTTTAAGGTTAGACTACCTTAGTTTTTTGCTTTTTTGTGTTTTTTTTTTTAAAGATTTTATTTATTTGACAGAGAGAGACATAGCGAGAGAGGGAACACAAGCAGGGGAATGGGAGAGGGAGAAACAGGCTTCCCCGCGGAGCAGGGAGCCCGATGTGAGGCTGGATCCCAGGACCCTGGGATCACGAACTGAGCCGAAGGCAGATGCTTAACGACTGAGCCACCCAGGCGCCCCTAGACTACCTTAGTTTTTAATGTTAGAATATCTCATTTGGCACTTTTGACTATCCCTCCATTTGTTGTACTAAATGGGAAGTGTTGGATTACTGGAGTTGGCAAAGGAATCTTTTTGAGTGGCTAAGATTCCTTTGGTGTCCTGCTAACATACTTGTTCTTTTTTTTAAAGATTTTATTTATTTATTTGAGAGAGAGAGAGCAAACATGACTGAGGGGCAGAGGGAGAGGGAGAAGCAGGCTCCCTGTTGAGCAGGGAGCCCAATGTGGGGCTCAATCCCAGGACCCTGGGATCATGACCTGAGCCCGAAGGCAGATGCTTACCCAACTGAGCCACCCAGGTGCCCCGATACTTGTTCTTTAGCCTATAGGTCAGACAGAGGTATCTTCAAGAATAGGTTCCCATTGCTCTTGGGACCTTGACAGAGGGGAGAGATCACTTCCTGGTATATGCTTCCCATTTAAGTGCCAGTAGGTGGTTTTCTTGCTGATTAATTCTGTGTACATATATGTTTTGAGATACTTATGTAGAGATCAGACTGAAAATCACCTCTGATAACCTTCTATTACTATAATAGTAGTGACAGAATGAGTTGATTTTATTTGTAGCAGTAGAAAATAATTATGGAATTTACCTGAAGCCGTAGTTATTATGTAAAGCAATAGTAGTAATAAAATAACCTTGTAACACTATATAAATTTCATTATCTAACATGAATTTGGTGCCAGATAGAGGTAGCTTTTTGCATCTTGAATCATTTGACAAGACCTGTTTTGTGGGTATGGAATAGTACCTCACCCCTATGTTCTCATATAATGTTCTCTGAAGGGGCACAACCACCTTTGCTACTTGGCCTCCACTCTTAGACTGAAGTAGAGTCTCTCAATTTCTTGCTGCTAGAAAAAAGCAGGTCATTATTCATTGAAATAAGTAATTTAAGCTTTACAAAATAATTTAAAACTACCATTTGCTAAACATTCCCAACTCTGTGGATGTATTATCTCCACTTTATCAATAAAAAACTTAGAGAGGGGAAATAACTTGCTAATGACCATATAGCAAATATAATGGGATTCATAATAGAAATGACCCAAATTGTCAGTTATCCTGGTAGTTAAAAGTACTGTAGCTGGATGTGCTTATGATTTATTTGACAGTATCACAAAGTTTGGTGTTATGTTCTCTACATTCTGTCCTAGGGAAAGTAGCACAATGACATTATACTCCAAGGTAATGCTACCAAGTGTGATTAAAAAGAATGTGTCAAAACCACAGATTGGTGGGGTTCTATAAAGAAGTTAATGATAGGAAGTGATTGACTTGATCCTTAATGAAAAGTTTTCTAATTTTGAAATACCTACTGCTTTAGGCATTGCTCACTCTAAAATGCCTCCTTTTAATTGTCTGGGTTTCTTAAATTTATACTTACTCCATTTTGGGTGTATAAAATGACTATTACTAAAGGTATTTCAAAGCTAGGCAGGAGGCCTTAGTTATTCTCTTCCTACTATTAAGGATGAATCTTGTTCATCCACCAAACACATGGGCTCCGTCTCCCTGGAGAGGAGATTACAGAGTGCTGAATGTTGCAGCTGAGCCCTATGTGTGCTTATTTATAAATCAGCCTTGGAAGTAATTGCATGCATCAGTAACAATTTGGATTGAGTTTATTTTGATGTTTTGTTGTCTAATAAACTCAAGGATGAAACTGCCTCCTTAAATATATTGATCAACTAACAATTTTTTTTGTATTTACCTGCTTTGTGTCATATGTGGTTTATTATATGTGTGCTTTAACTGTAAAGATTTTCTTTTTGTCATGTATGTCTTACCTTGATATCTTCATTTGTAAATTTGTTTTTAAATGTTAAAGAACTTCTAGATCATAAAAAAAAGCCAAAACAAAAACACATGCCTTATTTAAGCCCAAATTATTTTTTGTATAAGTACTTTTTTGTTAATTAAGTGTAAAAATGTTTGCTTTATCGATGGAATAATTATCTTAATTTTCTTTTATGATCATGTGGCTGTCCATATTACCTCTTCAGCCTTGAAAATATGATGGCGAACTAACAGATGACCGTTGAGAGTAATGTCCTTTCCTGTCACACCCCCATAAGACTGCATCATGTTGATTACACAACCAGCTTAAAGATGCAGTTTATTTGGAAATAATGCTTCTCATAGAAACCTACTAACCTAAAATGTTTTTACCACTTTATTTCTTAAATATAGGTGGAAAAAACCCACATCGAGGTCACAGTACCCACCTCAAATGGTGACCAAACACAGGTTTGTGCCAACAGACCACTTGTTCCTTTTCTCCTCCCTCCTCAATTTTTTTCTTCTCCCCAACTCCCTTCCCTTAAAAAATATTATAAAGGTTCAAACAAACTTCAATAAGCCAATATTTTATTATTTTTCTTTTTTTTTAATAATGGCAGCTTGCAGAAAAAACTGAAGATCTGATAAGAATGAGGAAGGTCAGCCATTTTTCACTTTCACAAAACTGCATTACCATCACCCATGCTGACTTCTACAGTGTGTTAAAAAGACAGTGATCCATTCTTTTCATTGATTTCTCTCCATCAGAAATTACTTTCAAATCGCAGATATATATTTGCACATATACATATTTGCATACACTCGCATACATATGTATACCAAAGAAATTATAATCCTATACTATTTGTTGAAATTCCCAGGAGGAAAATATCTTTTTAAACACGATGAAATAACTAGTGAAGACCAAACCTACCCTTCATGTTTAAACTTTATAAGAAATATTTCAGTGGCACCATATTTTTGGAATCATGGACAATATTTGATACATACTTACTATGGAAACCATCATAGCAGCAACTCCTGGTTTTGTTAATAACTGTGTGTTTTGCTGCTCTGCACCCATTCTTCCCAACTATAGAGTGGGATGTGTTAGTTCTTACTGAAGAGAATATTGACTAATCATGTATTAAGTGCCTTTAGATCTTTCTTATGAAAAGTATTAGAGATGTACATACTGTGGTATTACTAAGTATAAAATATAGCTCAAAAAGGTAAATAATGTTTTAAAGCATTTCTCCATGCCATGGAACATGGAATTTCAAAGCTTCTTAAAATCACGTATTTTAAGATAACCCTCAAACAGTTCAATTTCAAGAGTGAGCATAAAACAACTTACGTAAGAAGCCAATGAAGCCAGGAGCACTGTCTGTTTAAATAAGGTCATCACTTTCTTCCATCATTCATGAATAGGGTCATCTGTTTTCTAGTGGTAATGTGTTCTGTGTATGTCCTTGTAGTTTTGTGACCATTTCATGTTGGCATATGCTGCGCTGTGGACATTTAATTTTTTTGGTTTGCCAATTTGCAGTTTTTTCCCGCAAGAACAACATTTTAATTTTTTATGCTTTTCTGTTTTTCCCTCTTTCATTTTCACAGAAAAAGAGAGAGAGACTAGATGGTGAAAACATTTATATCAGACATAGCAATTTAATGTTGGAGGTTTGTATGAACTTGAAGCTTATTTTAGTTGGTTGCCTATAACCTTCTGCATTCTTTGCAATCATCCCTTTCTTTATGCTGCCTTTGGTTTTGCATGCCATTGCATGAAAGAATTTTAGGTTTAAAATGCTTTTGCATGTTGGTAAACATGAAGATATGCAACCATCTCTCCTTCTGACTCTTTTTAGTTTCCATCTGTCATACTTACCTAAAAAATATATGATTGGGACTACCCCTGCTTCTCACGGTTCCATTGTTTTACGCACTTGTAGAAAATTCTACATCACTGTCAAAAATTTCTTGAACTTTCCAAGAATATAAACTCCTATATGTCCCAAGCATCAAATTTGTACTGTATTTTTCATCTTCTGAACTGAGAGAGTGTGGAAAAGTAGGAGAAATGATCACAATTCAAAATGGAGTTAAAAATTGGGGAATACCAAAAAATGACAGGACAGTCAGGAAAGAAAAAAGATACAGGAAGGAAAGAAGGGACCTGGTATTTAATCTGTAGTTAATATGATATAAGATAGTTTAATTACAAAAACAGGTCTGTGGCCATAAGATTATTATTTTAAAGATAAGAAAATTGATGTTAGAGAAATTTAATTTGTCTGTGGTCACAAAGCCAGTAAATTGGTAAAGCTAGGATTTGAGTTAGGGTCTATCTATCTTTATTAAACTATACTTTTCCCATTCAGAAATAGCAACATACTGTCTATTATAGGAATTGTGAGGTCATTTTCTCATTACATTCAACAATAATTTGTTTTTTACCAGAGTTATATTAGTATACTTATCTGGTTTGGGGCTCGACACTGGATAGGGAAATATGAAGCTAATTAGAAGGGTAGGGGAACTCTATGAGGAAAAAATAAAGAACATGGAGTTACCTATGTGGAAAACACTGAAGCGACATTAGTTTATAACTCACTAAGACTCTTATATAAAAAAGCTGACCAGATTATCTTAACCATCTGAGCCACCCAGGCGCCCAAAAGTTGACCAGATTATCTTATGATTTTGCTCAAGACAGAGCCAAAAGAAAGGAATATAACTCTGATACTGGGGATTTTAACTTAAATTTGAAGGAAATATAAATATAAATACAGAGGAAGATGAAGTAGGGAGGAGAGGGACAGTAAACAGTTAAAAAATAGCAATGAAATTATTTCAAGTTATTATAGAAGCTATGAAGGAAATAAGCAGTATGCTGTGCTGAGAAAGGAAATCTACTCTGAATAAGATGGATGGAAGTTTTCTCTGGAGAGATAACATATTAGCTGAGACCTGAAAGATGAACATATGAGAAATGTGCTAAATATTATTAAACTGGATATCTGAAGAAACTTTTTAAAATAGAACTCTGGTTTAATGTAATGGCCTCTAATAGTTATTTAACCGTGTCTTATTTTTTGTCAAAACATATATTTTGAGTGCTTCCTATGTATAAGGTACTTTAATAAAAGTAATAAAAATTATGGCCAGCCTTCATTAATCACGTACTGTACGATGGGCACAATATCAAATGCTTTATGTACACTTACCTCATGTAACATGAGGTTTTTTAAGGCTGGACTCTAGGACATCTCAAACTCAGCAACTAGATCTCTGCTTGAGCTCATAACTAAAACTAGACGTGAATGGTTCTGCTTCCGGGATTAGGAAGAATTACAGAGGTCAGTTGATGTACTTGGCAATGTAACATCTCCCAATCCCAAACATGCCTTTTTCTTCACTAGTCCATCTTTAGTGCTTCCTTTTGTTCTTTTTTTTTTTAAGATATTATTTATTTATTTGACAGAGTGAGACACAGCAAGAGAGGGAACACAAGTAGGGGGAGTGGGAGAGGGGAAGCAGGCTTCCCGCTGAGCAGGGAGCCCGATACGGGGCTCGATCCCAGGACCCTGGGATCATGACCCGAGCCGAAGGCAGATGTTCAACGACTGAGCCACCCAAGCGCCCCTTTAGTGCTTCCTTTTAACTGGAACCTGCAGTACCAATCATATATTTGTCATTTGTTCAATGAGGTGTGTTATGGCTTCTGAGACTCACAGAGTCCCTGTGTGTGATGTGTTTTTTTCCCCCAGCATTGCATTGATAGCCACAAGAGGGGATTTCTTAATAAGTGTGTGTTTGAAAATTAAAACTACTAACTACTTTTTGAGAACATTTTATATTTAATGGTTTGGTTTGGCTGCTGCTAAAATTATAAGATGATAAGTATCAAAAAGTATCTAGCCTAAAAACAGCCAAAGTAATTTGGCTAACCATCATTCTCTAGTTACAAGTAAAAAAAAAAAATTTTGTCTCCCTTCCACCCACCCCCCCCACCCAATAAGGATGTTCTCTCAAGTTATCTGTCACTCTAGCAGAATTTTTTTGTTTTGTTTTGTTTTTTTAAAGCATCTCTCCTACCCGACCCCCACTAATGCTTTGTTCTGGCCAAATAAGGTCGAGTTCATTTTTAGATCTACCGCCTCCTCCTCCATCTCCCAGAGAGAACCTGTAGCAAGTGTCTATGACAAATTCTATTTGGAACAGGTCCCTTTGAGATCTTAATTTTACTCTGTGCCCCCACAGGTTTCTAACAGAGCCAGCTAAGAAGGATGGAGAAAGCTCCTTCAGAAGCTACTGATTTTATTGAAACATTTATTTTTCTCAGGTTCCAAACCAATCAAAAGCTAGGCAAGAAGAGTAACAAATCACCACTCTCATATTAAGAGGCTAACCCAGAGAGTTATGGTTTTACCATAGCATCTCTTGCTCATTTTTGTTTTGTTCCATTCATACTTATAACTCTCCCAAATGTGTTAAGTTGTTCTTGGACCAGGCAGATTTTTTTTTTTATAGATTTTATTTATTTATTTGACAGAGAAAGACACAGTGAGAGAGGGAACACAAGCAGAGGGAGTGGGAGAGGGAGAAGCAGGCTTCCTGCTGAGCAGGGAGCCCGATGCAGGGCTCGATCCCAGGACCCTGGGATCATGACCTGAGCCGAAGGCAGACGCTTAACGACTGAGCCACCTAGGCGCCCCTTGGACCAGGCAGATTTAATTTCCAGTTAGGAGCTGGGTCACAGGGCCTTACATGCCTTGTGGGTCTCAGTTGCTTAGCCTACTACTGAGTCTTTGACCAAGCTTATTCATGCTTTTCTTTAGCTAGTAAACATGCTTTTCTTGCTTTCAGCTAGAATAAAAGTGCACACTGTTGTTTCCTCATGGTGAAGCCCATATTCCTGGGCTGTACTCACATTGCATCCCAACAAGCAAGAGGTAATTTTATGGGGAAGCTACAGGATTGCCCTTGTTGGGTTAGTTTTCTCTTTGATCTCAAAGCAAATATACATGGTTTAGTCTTGCAAAAATAAGAATGGACTAGTAAGTGAATTTTCTGAATGAATATCTCCAGAATCAAAATTATGTTGTGTGCCTCACCAATTCTTTTTCCTATGCTATTTTCCCTTTGACATTGCTTTCGAAAAAAATTTTATTTAGTTGAAGCATACGTTGCTCCAGAAAAATTTTTCAAACAAATTTTTATTTAAATGAGTTCCAGTTTTTTTTCCCAAAATGTGGTGATTTCCCACAGAGAAAGAAAGAAAGAAAGAAAGAAAGAAAGAAAGAAAGAAAGAAAGAAAGAAAGAGGCTAATCTCAAAATTTACACAGCAGATTAAAAGATATATTTAATATTATGCTTTTCTTGGATACAGAGCTGCCGTGATATATAATAAACACAGAATTTTTAGCATTCATCAAGTGACAGGTTCCCACATATTTTGATCTCAAGCATAGATCTTCTGAGCTTTTTTGGACAAGTATGTTGGACAAAGAACATTTCAGTTTTTGTCTTTAAGTTGTATTTCCCATTTTATTTCTGGCCAAGTCGCCTTTTAAAAGTTTTATATGCCTCCTGTTAAATAAACATGAATGTTATTTCTAGCTTTATTAACCTAAGTTTTGATCCTTTCTCCCTGTAATATCCCACTTAAGGGTTATTAAACCTAGTTGTCCAGTATCCATATCTGCTGGAACAGTTGAGATGTTTTAAATTGTTGGGAAGATATATAAGGTATCTGATGAATTCTTGTTAAATTACTTCCAGTCCATTGAAAGTTACTGGAAGAAGGTCCCTATTTTGAATTCTACTAAGGGATGAAGTAAAGCTGTCAGTAGCTGGAAGGCATAAAGGTTTTTTTTTTTTTTTTTAAGATTTTATTTACTTGAGAGAGAACACAGAGGGAGAGGGAGAAGCAGACCCCTACTGAGCAGGGAGCTGGATTCAGGGCTCGATCTCAGGACGCTGGGATCATGACCTGAGCTGAAGGCAGACGCTCAACCAACTGAGCCACCCAGGCGTCCTGGAAGTCATAAGGCTTTTAGTTTGCATGAATAGTATTGGTAAAGAAAAAAAGCCATTATATTACATACCTGAGTGATTTTTCATAGGTGGTAACAATTTGCTCTCAAGGCTTGAGCCAGAAATTCTAGTAATAAATTCTTATAACAAGAAAGGGCTATTACTGTTTATCAAAACCAGTAATATCCACCTAGTAATAAGGAAGCAAAACTGTCTCTAGGTAGAAATAGAGGGATGCTGTATGATTGCAACTCACCAAAGCAAAGCAGCTTTGGTGGCAGTTGCATCTTTTATCATGTCCTTTGTTTAATAGTTGCTCCTTATCTATTGCTATCTCCATCCTGCCTGAGCAGAGCCTCAATCAGTTCATATCAAGCCAAGGCTAATTGAGCTGTGAGATTACCCTCTTAGGATGAGGAGTTGGAGATCTAGCGCTGCGTCCTAATGCGAAGAAAAGTTGCAAAATTAAGGAGCGAGGTCTCTGGGTTACAGAACTGCTAAGAGCTGTGGGGTTATGATGCTTCACTGCTTCCAAGAAAAGCACCTCATTAAAAAAAAAAAAGCAAGCAAATATACCATGTCATATATTTAAAATTTAAATGCAATTTATGGATTAGTAACATCTGCCCTGGATGTGGTGTTTTCTACCAGTGCCCATAGTCTGGTGGGCTTCCCTTGATGTGTTTTTTTCCTCTGAGTATTTATAATTTTGCATCTTTGTCCTTTCAACTACAGGATTTAGACAAAAGTCAAGAAGAGATAAAAAAACATCATGCCAGCATCAGTGAGCTGAAAAAGAACTTCATGGAATCTGTACCAGAACCACGGCCTAGTGAATGGGATAAACGCTTATCTACTCACTCCCCATTCCGAACACTTAACATCAATGGGCAGCTTCCCACAGGAGAAGGAGTGAGTACTTTGTCCATGTGACCACCTGTGAGAATGAATGAAATAAATGTATTGTATAGTAATGTTCTGTATGTGAATAAAATAAGTAAGTTTAGAGCTGAAATTTAGCTTTGGTTCCTCACCAGTTCATTGCAGCTTTAAGGTATTCATAATCAAACACTTGTTTTTTAAGTCATATGGGCTACCCAGTCGAATTACAGGAGCCATTTAGAGCTACCATTAGATGACTAGGCTCTTGAGAACTGCCTCCTTCTGGCTAGTGTGTGTTTACAAATTGACCATTAGCCAGTGGAACTTTATGTTCAAACTGTGCCTCCAAGGACCAGAGAGTTTACTAAATTTAGTAAGGTCAAAATTGGAACAGGATAAACATTTTTTTTAAACTTTATTTGAACATTTGTACAACTTAGAAATGTCTGGAATGGTTGACCACAATTATATAATAAACCAAGGAGGTCTCTAAGCCAGAGAATGCAGAACACCACATATTAATGATTGTATTTCAATTTCAGAAAAATTATTGACGATTCGTCTTTATGAGCAGCATCAAACTTTTAACATGTTGTTTTATAAGATAGTCACAGAGGAAGTTGGAGATACCTTTCAGAGGCTGCTTTTTTTGTGTTGTTGTCATTACCTATTGTAGAAATCCTACATCTGACTAAGTGAATCTGTGTGATGGACACCTTAAAAGTTACCTTAAGCATATATTTAAAAATTCTTTACTTAATTTTTAGCCTATACAGGTTAATATTTATCTAAGTAGTCACAATGACTTAATGAGTGATGATAATAATTTTTAAAATTATATGCCTGGTTTTCACCAATAGCAATAGCAATTCTAGTCAAGAAAGGTAGTGATGTCTTAATAACTTAAAAAAACTTGTTTTTATATTTAGAATTCATGGTAAACTATTCAACTTTGTTTAGTTTCTGGAACTGGAGAAGATGATAAAAGTTGACTCATAAAGGGTACTTTTTATATTTCTCAAAATGTGATTGAAATTGGCTAAAAATTCCCCGAGTAGAGTCAGACCAGTTTCACCAAGTAAGACTGGAGAATTCTTGAATGATGGGTAGCTAGTTACCGGGGGTGATAGGATGCAGTTGTTTTTATTCACTGTCCTCTTCAGCCTCCATTCCCTGATGTAGATGGACGTCACTTTTATCTAGATAATGTGGCCTGAACCTCATGAGACAGTGACTCTGCTTTCTATAAGCAGGAGAAAGTCTTGTTGCCTTGTTGCTATCTTGCCTGGTTAACCCTCTCTGTAAAACATAACTGCATATTTTCTAGAAGTTTTCTTTTTGACTCTGTGGAAGTAGTAAAAGATGCTCAATTTCTTTGAAAAAGTAACTTAATGCTCTCTTGGATGAAGTTTGGTAAATTTGAATCAGTCTCCATTTCCAGAAAATATCTTATATCTTAATAGAAACCTTCCAGAAATCATCTCAGGGCTGGTTGGAAATGGGTATGTCATTCTGTGGACTTTAAAGAAAGGACTTTTATAAATTAGATTGGTGGGGAGTACTTGAGCCACTTTAGCTCTGTGCTTCTGTATATTACTCCTCTAAATGAATAACAGAATAAATAAGAAGAACTGTCCTATATAACCTTTTATAAAGGATAACTCCACTTTCTGGCATATCTTACTTTTTCTTTAATAATTAGGGCAATATTTCTGTTCTCTGGGGATACCTCTTCCATCTTTGGCAGCATTGTTGTTGCATTGCAAGGCTACTGAATTTTATATAATTTGTGTATGACCAGGTGAAGAAAACCTCTGTCCTTCCCTCGGAAAGAAAGGTTGGTGGGCCAGAGGTAAAGCTGCTGTTATGACTTGTGCTTCTCAATCCAAATTTGCTCTTGTCATGGCACTAAGCAGATATTCCCCCCAGAACTGAACAGCAGCTGCTGAGTAATTTTTTTTCTTTTGGCTCTACTAGTAAACACCCCACTGCCTTTTGACCTAACACATAACATTTCCACTGCTGCAGCTTTTGCAGCTTTCAGTTTGCTTATTTTGGCGCATGGCTGGTTGAAAAGCTGCATGAAGATGTAAATATGTATTCAGAGAGAAAATGAATTTAATTGTACCCTATTCTTTTTATGTTGTCTTTCTTCTCCCTCTTTATATTCTTTTAAAAATCATTATGATTTTGCATCCTTTCTTTTCCTTTTTTCTTCTTTGCTGACCAGTCCCCCAGCTACTTTCTCCCTGATACATATCACTTAGGGGTGTGCAAAGAACCTGTGTCAAAATTCCAAACTGATCAGAGAAGGCTGGCCCAACTGAGAGAACTTAGAGCCAAGTTTTTCCTTTCATAGATAACATCTCTTGACTGGATGGCAGAGCACAGAAATTGTCAGGGGAGAAAAACTTCTCAGTTGGACAATTGGAAAAGACAACTTACCTTAAAAGTGTCAAAAGTACTTTGCTTAATGTGATGTATAAACCTTCACGATGGTGGTTATTTTTAATCATGATTCTGCAAGAGGGGGAGGGAGTTTACAGTTGTTGAGATTTGTGGGGGGTTTTCATTTGTTTTTGATAGACCTTGGAGGCACATATAAACTTTTATACTTTTGTTTTTCTTTTGCAACCTTTAAAATGTATGGGATTAAAATTTTCATTCCCTTCAGCAAAAGCTAATTGCCATACTGAATGAACTGTTGCAGTTTTTAAAGTGTATATGAAGGGATATGAGGATAACTTTTTATATTCTGCCATTCTATTTGTAATAAAAGTAACTTTTCTGATGGCGAGAAGAATTCTTCATTATTGGCTTTGCCCAAGTGATCTAAGAAAAATTGGCAGCACTAAAACAAGGAAAACTGACCCAAAATTCATATGTGAGTATCCTTCAAGGAAGAACAAATATTGTAACTAAGGAAGTCGAGCAATTGCTTGAACTTTCAGGACTTCTAATGTTCATTCATTCAAAAAATTATCTATTGAACACCCTACTGTGTTACAGAAACTTTGCTGGGATAAATTGCCAAAGTAAAGTGAAATAAAGAGTGTCCCAAAAAGATCTTCCCAAATCCTTTGCACATCCCCAAGTATCATTTTTGAGCATTTTTCCATCTGTCATTTTGTTCATCTTTCTCTGTCTTTCTTGATCTTCTACCGTGAAAGCAGACACAGCAACGTGCTCTGTTAGTGCAGGATGAAGAGAAAATTAAAAGGCAAGAGAGATCTACTGAGAGAGCCTTGCCCCAGCAAGACAATGAAGAAATTCTTCCCAAGGTTTCTATTCCAATCCCTGAGGATCACAAGTCTCTCAAAAAGTGCCGCCTCTACTCTAGTACTTTTCCATCTCCTCGTATTCCTTTCCTGATGTCTTTTCTCGTGATTCTTGCTTTGGCTGTTTGGTGGTTGGTCTTTCTGTGATCGGAAAACAGGGTGCTCATCTGAAATGTCAAGACTAAAACCATTGAACTTTTGTCATTTAATTCTACTATGTTATCTCCTGTATGATACCCTCTGATCTTGACAGTTCACTGTCCTAGGGGAGCTCTTTGTGATCATTTTTCTGTCAATAAAATGTTACTCTTTGTCGAATGTGTATTGTGGGGTACAAAGGAGTAGCAATGGATTGCCCATGCCAGCTTTCCTCCCTGACCTTGAACAAGTTCAGACAAATCAGATTTAAGCATATGACACTTGGTACTTTCCCCAAAAGGTTTAACTCTTTTATCCTGCATGTTCGTATTGTTCTCTGCTGCGGTGTCCTCTCCACTGTTACACGCAAAGTAGGATACTCTGTAGAAACATTTGATGGAATATTTCCTAGTCTTCTATAGTCATTTGTGTGGCATGGGCTCTGTAGTTTAAGAAAAAAAATTCAACTTGCTAATTTTTCAAAAGCCTTAAAATGATACGTTTTAATCTATGAATCCATAGCCACTCCTTTTCTTGAGATATCAAACCAGTATTTACAAAGGCCTTTTTTGGAAAAGGACTTTTGACTTCTGTGGCCTTCTTATGTGTACTTCTGAAATGTGCAGGGAAAAACACCTTTGTCCTGCCTGGTGTATAGAAGGGATCTGCAAAGGTTAAATGCCAACTTTTCACAAGTAGAATGTTGATGGTTTAAGGAAAATGGTGCTGTGCTGGTGCCCCTTAGCCTCCAGCCAGGGCTGAATTTCCAGACCACCGGTACCCATCTTTAAAAGTCCTAGAATACAGATTTATTCAAGATCTGTACATAAATATGCCCTGTCTGAGTTAATACTGTGTTACTTCTTTATGACTTAAGTAAATTACATTGCTAGAAGCAATATTTAGCCATTATCACAAGCTTAAAATATATATTGATATATTGTTTTCCTGATAGACTTCAGACCTTGTTTATTCTTACATTTGTGTTGAAATCAATTGTTTTTAATTGATGACCTTGTGAGCTAAAGTTCTGTTGTGACAAATATGTGTCCCTGTTTGCATGTTGATTTTTAAGGCTTCCCTGAAGTAAATATGAGTGTGCTTTGTTTTCACAACACAACTCAGATGCCTAACCTGTTATTTTTTACCTCGGTATTAATGACATCTTGCATGTAGCTTACTTTTTATGGCACTTGAATGTACCAATATGGATGATTTGGTTAATGTTGTCTCAAATATTTGTTTTAAAATCTGAGTTCATGGGGTTATCAGACTGAGATTTTTGCACTTTGTTTTACTTCTCAACACTTTGTAGTTGATGAAACTTCTAAACAAGACTTTTTGTTTTTAAGATGATGGCTTCTTACAGCAAAAAAAAAAAAAAAAAAGGGAGAGAGAGAACACTAATGCCAAGAATCTTTTGTCCTTCAACACCCACCACGATCTATTTTCTCTGGAGACATGTAGAAATAATTCTCTGGTATTTCTTGAAAACTGCTCTTCTGTCATTATAGGCTTTCCCAAAAAATGGGAAAGAAGTAAGGGGTGGGTTGAGTTTTAAAATCTGTTATGGGTGTGTATCTTTCATGTCACAGGCTATGTCTGTTTATAACA